TGAATGATCCTCAACTTGTTGCGAAACGAAATGCTCTAATTGTAGATGCTGCTCGTGCGCTGAATAAGGCAAAAATGTTACGTTTTGATGAAAAAAGTGGCAACTTCTATGTCACGGACTTGGGCCGTGTTGCAAGCCATTTTTATCTTCAATACAGGAGTGTGGAAACTTACAACGAGATGCTTAAGCAGCATATGAGTGATAGCGAGGTACCTATTTTTGTTGTTTGTACAAATTGACGTTCTTCGTGCCTACGTTTGCAGCTTTTTAAGCTGGTCTCGCATTCATCTGAATTTGAAAACATTATGGTGAGGGAAGAAGAGCAACAAGAAATAGCTAAGCTTCTCCATACCTCTTGCCCTTTGGAAGCTTATGGTGGGGCTGAGAGCAAATATGGAAAAATCAACGTTCTTATACAAGTGAGTAATATGTAGCGGGTATGCACGCGATTACGTAATTGCTTTATTTTTCTCAGGTCTATATATCTCAAGGTTACTTGGATGGGTTTTCTCTTATTGTTGATAGTGCCTACATAAGTGCAAGCTTGGGACGCATTATGAGAGCGTTGTTTGAAATTTGCTTGCGGCGTGGCTGGTGTTCAATGTCGGCAATGATTCTAGAATATTGCAAGGCTGTAGACCACCGTATTTGGCCTCATCAGCATCCTTTGCGACAATTTCACGGAGTCCTTTCCCCCGAGGTTGGCTTGCTAGAGTCGCTTTTGCTTCGGCTCTAAGTATTTTCTGTCAGGTGCTGCGTAAACTGGAAGACCGCGGTGCTGACTTGGATAAACTTTATGACATGAATGAAAAAGAGATTGGCTCTTTGATCAGCAGTCCCTATGGGGGAAAGGTAAATGGCTCTTCAAGTAACAGCCTCCAACGTTATTCGATTTCAGCTGGTACGTCAATGTATGGATCACTTCCCGTTCATCAATCTGTCTGCAAACGTGAGTCCAATTACGCGGACTGTTCTTCAGGTGAATGAGCGTTTCTGTATGTAGCAAAATCTCAACTTTCTTCTTCGGTTGTAGGTCACCTTAACTATTACCGCGGATTTTACTTGGAAGGACAGGTTTCATGGGACGGCTTTAAGATGGTGGATTTGGGTGGAGGTATGTCGACCAAGTCTTTGGTAGCGAATTGAAGCTGGTTGTAACTGTAGGATTCGGATAACGAGCATATTTACCACTCGGAGCACTGGACATTGACCAAGAAAATGGTGGCGGAAGGAAGCCAGACAATTTCATTCACCATTCCCATTTTTGAGCCAATTCCCTCGCAGTATTACATTCGTACCATTTCGGACACGTGGTTACAAGCGTCCTACCTATATACACTCTCTTTTCAGCATCTTATCTTACCAGAGGTACGTTTCGTGTTTGCTAGCATGACTGTATATCACGCTCTTGTTCTCTACGCAGCTCCACCCTCCACACACCGAGCTACTAAACCTTCGACCATTGCCGGTGTCAGCCTTGAAAAACCAGAAATATGAAGAACGATACAAGTTTTCACATTTCAATCCTATCCAAACGCAGGTACTGTCATCCATTTAAGGAGTTACCGGTGACTCAATGTCGTTTGCAGGCTTTTCACACTTTGTACCAAACTGATCATAATGTTCTGCTGGGCGCTCCAACTGGGAGTGGAAAAACAATATCCTCAGAGCTTGCCATGCTTCGCCTTTTTAACACACAACCAGATATGAAGGTAACATCTTTCTGTTTTTAGAGATGTCGTAGCTAAGAACTGTGCACTTCAGGTCATATACATTGCTCCTTTAAAGGCTCTTGTACGGGAAAGAGTTGACGACTGGAAGAAAAGTCTGGTACCCACGCTTGGAAAGAAGCTGGTATGTCAATTTTCCAGTAGTTTTTATGACGATTCAACTGTGTTGTAGGTGGAATTAACGGGCGATTTTACTCCGGATTTACTTGCGTTGCTTGAAGCAGATATCATCATTTCAACTCCTGAAAAATGGGACGGTATTAGTCGTAGTTGGCACAACAGAAGCTACGTTACAAAGGTCGGCCTGATGATCATTGACGAAATACATTTGCTAGGCGCAGACAGAGGTCCGATCCTTGAGGTAGTGGAAGTCTCTTTTGATAGTAAAGTTGTCAGGAAATAACGTAATTGGTATGCAGGTTATAGTATCCCGGATGCGCTATATTTCTTCTCAAACCGCTCGTCATGTTCGATTTGTTGGCCTGTCAACGGCCCTTGCGAATGCAAAGTGAGTCTTAGGCATGCAAGACTCACGTTTAATATTTTGTTTCAGGGATTTGGGAGACTGGCTGGGCATTGAAAATGTTGGACTGTATAATTTCAAGCCAAGCGTTCGCCCAGTACCACTAGAAGTTCATATACAGGTAAATTAAACAAAACATGTACTGCTACTGCAACGCTTTGCTGCTTCCTACAGGGATATCCTGGGAAGTTTTACTGCCCTCGAATGAATAGCATGAACAAACCAACTTACGCTGCTATCAGAACACACTCGCCTTTGAAGCCGGTTTTGATATTTGTCTCTTCTCGTCGTCAAACTCGACTTACTGCCTTCGATCTCATTCAGGTATGCCATTTAGCTTTTGTTCGATGGCATTTTGTAATTTCATTGTACCAGTTCGCAGCCCAAGACGAACAGCCACGCCAGTTTTTGCAAATGAATGAAGAGGACAACAGCATGATTCTGTACAAGGTTGTGGATAGTAGTCTAAAGCACACATTGCAGTTTGGGATCGGGTTGCACCATGCTGGTCTCTGTGACAGTGACAGAACTCTAGTTGAGGAGCTCTTTTACAACAACAAAATTCAGGTAAACACTTTTTCGTTTTTACGATGGTCGATATACCTTTTGTTTTCTGAACAGGTTTTAGTTTGCACGAGCACTTTAGCTTGGGGAATCAATCTCCCAGCACATCTAGTCGTAATCAAGGTATGCGTTTGCTACTTGATTGTTGTCTTGAATTGGGAAATCTTTTTTGTGTAGGGGACCGAGTATTTTGATGGAAAGTCTAAACGCTACATTGATTATCCTATCACGGATGTATTGCAAATGATGGGCCGGGCAGGACGGCCCCAGTTCGATCAACACGGAAAGGCTGTAATATTGGTTCATGAACCGAAGAAAAGCTTCTACAAGAAGGTTTGATAGCTCAACGACGTTGGACCGATCCATCTTAACGTTCTGAACGGTGGCAGTTTTTATATGAACCTTTTCCAGTTGAAAGCAGCTTGGTTCACCACCTTCATAATCACTTGAACGCAGAGATAGCTGCTGGAACAATTGCAACAAAGCAAGATGCTCTTTACTATTTGACATGGACGTATCTGTACCGGCGGCTGGTTATGAATCCAAGCTACTACGGTTTGGAAGACACAGCAGCTGAGTCCATCAATCATTTCTTGTCAAGGTGATGTTTTCTGCCGATGCTTTCTTAACATTGACTGCTTTGCTCTCTTTTAGTCTTGTGAATGGCACACTTGAAGCACTGGATGACGCTGGGTGCATCAAAGTGAGCGAAGACAACGTAGAGATACAGATGCCGGGACTCATTGCTTCAAAATACTATCTTCACTACACAACAGTAGCACTTTTCAGCTCAAACGTACACTCTGAGAGTTCATTGGAGGTACGATCGTTGAAAAGGTAGACCTGTGGCTGATTGATCTTTGTGAGCAGGAGCTATTACAGCTGCTTTCATCTGCTACGGAGTATGACGAGCTTCCTGTCCGGCATAACGAGGTACAGCCGCTTCGGGTTTTCGTTTACTGACCAGCACAACCTTCCAGGAAAACCTGAATGCGATTCTTGCGCAGCAAGCACGAATGCGTGTAGACAATAAGCTGCTAGATGACCCTCATGTGAAGGCCAACTTGCTGTTTCAGGTAAAACAGAGAACGACTAGCTCGTGAATCCAGCGCTGAAGTTCATTTTATCAGGCTCATTTCTCACGACTGGAGCTGCCAATTTCTGACTACGTGACAGACACGAAGTCAGTGCTGGACCAAAGCATACGTATACTTCAAGCGATGGTGGATGCTGCGGCCAATGGAGGATGGCTCAGAACGACCATTCGAACTATGCAACTCTTGCAGATGATTATGCAGGTAGAGCTGATGATTTCATTGCGATGTTATTATAATTCGCGTCTCTGACAGGGAACATGGTCTGATCA